CATCATCCTGATTTTAGCCCGGCGTTTAACTTCCCATCCTTTATTTCCGTTTCGTATGTTTATTGGATAAGGGCGGTCTGGTGTGAACCAAATATCTGGCTTCAAGTTCCAGGTTCCCAACGCATCTCCAGCTCCACTATTTTTCCGTCCTCCCTGCAAAAAGGGGCTGCGGTTGGCGATGCAATAAGCTTTTCTACGCCCCGTCGCCACTTTTACCATACTCTTGTGTCCTATGGAAGGTTGGTGACTTGCGCATCTCTGTCCAAAGCAGTCAACATCCCATTTATCTATGGGTAGCTCACGATATCATCAATCCCTCTCTACACCTGCTTTAGCCGTACGACGAAGTGAGATGCTGAGGGCTTTTGCTGTCTCTTGTTTTTGCTGTCGCTTATTATTCTTTTAACTTCTCGTGTTTCATCAACACCCCTGATGATCTGATCCATATCGCTGGTAAGGTTTAGTACATATTATTGTTCTTCGAATCGATCAGGAGCTGACTAGTAGCTTGCGGGGATGTCAGCCACATCTGGATCATCTCTGAATCGTTGATGCATTGTACGGTATGTACCATGCTATATATAAGTTTATATCGTGGGGGCTTGTTGCGCGCAGGGGTTGTGGATTCATCATTTCTTCTTACTCCATACCACACTTTTCCTTCCCTCCCTTCGGGAATTTTTTTCAAGGGGCATGTCCGCCCTCCCTCCCCTTCGTGCATGACGGACTGGGGCCTGGTCAGGATCATAAATCTCCAGCGCACAGACTCAGCCGTACCAGTCAATACCTTAGAAGTGCCGTTGTCTCACACTGTCTCCGGATTTGTGATTTCGCCTTTAGCTATTGTATTTTTGTTTCCCCCCCCCCCCTTCTTTTCTTTTCTTTTCTTTTTTCATTTTTTAATTTTTTCCCGCGTGTTGTTTGCCATGTGCTGCAACCAGAGAATGCCCAGGGGGCATTTTGTCCTTTTCGATCTCGCCTTTCTTTTCCTCTTGTGGATTGAGGGACATGGGATTTCTATTTTACGACTTCAGCTTGGATGCCCAGCTTCCAGCGCAAACTGTTTTTTTTAAAAAAAAATTCGGAAGCGAGATGCCCTTTGATATCTCCTCAAACTTTATATCCTCTGTTGGTATTCATATTTCAGCTGTTGAATTCCTTGCTCACATCAACTCTGGGAAATCGTTCCTATTGTTATGGTAATCCCGAACTGTATCTGGTTCTCTCAGCATCTGTCCGATATGGATTTTTAGTTGGATGTTAGTAGGGGTACAACTAGTTTCCAGTTCTATGAAGGTTATATGAGTATTCAACGGTAATGGCAAACTGCGGCATAAAAAGAAGCTAATTTCATTGCCTCTTATTTTTCTTTGCTGATATGCTGCAAATGGTAGATTGATCCAGATGTCTGTGTATGACTCCGGCCTGGATGCAAGCCGTCAGCGGAGGTGTAGCTCATCCCTCTATGGAGTAACTGCCATTCTACCGATGAATCATCTTTCCCGCAATGATAATCAAAAGGAAACACTCGCATCAGTTTCATTTAAACGTGACGTAACTCACTTCATCAGTCAGGCCATGGCCATCATGGGAGCACCAGACAGGCACCAACCACGCTTTCTTCGATGGACTGTGCCATGACCCCCAAATCAAGAGCCTTGTGCCATTCTCGATTCCACGTTCGAGGACCGGACGAACGAATGTAGTATTTCTATCTGACAACGTAGAATGCAAGTACAACACTTGTCTAAAAGAAGGTTGTCGTTCGATGTTACCGACCGAACTGCCAAGGTCATGCAAAGAGTACTAGGATATGGCTAGAGCGGATGGAGATGGTATCGGGAGAGTGAGTTATGATAGCAGCCATGCATCAGGTATAGGGATAAGTTGGAAATGGTAATGGATATGTCTCATTTTTGGTTATTGGATAGGGTAAAATAACGGGGATAATGATATAGAAAAGTTTTTCTGGATATTATGATATATGTACATACAATTCCAAAAGACCCTTGTTCACCACCAACCATCCATGGATGTTAAATCATGCAATTGTTGCATACAACAAGAATACCACCAGGTTAGCATCGGCACGGAAAATAAACTGTATCCGAAGAAAGCTCAAGGATACCCTCGCCGCAACCGTCACAAGTTGTCAAGTCATAACAAGTCCATTTTATCAATCGTCCCAGATAATTCTATGGTCAAAAGTATCAGACCATTAAGAACCTCGACATTCCACGAGGTACCATCCGATGGTACGTATCTCTGACCAATTCAGTTTCGCAATCGGTTCCGCGGAGAATATGAGGCCATGTGATATAGAACGGCAGCAACAATCCCGGGGATGTAATCTGGAATACAATTAGAGCAGTGTACTATTGGAATGAACGTCCTTTGAGAACCGGAGCCGTATTGAGATCGAGTAGGAGTATTTCATTAAAGTAACTGGGGAATTTGAGAAGGCAAATCGCACCTGTATAAACTAAATCGATACAAAAATGAACGTTCTCATATTTCTACTAGGGAAGGTTAATACTGCAATGAAAATGTCAAACCCAATAACCTTCAATATAACCAGTACTATGGCTCTCAAAATGGGCGGTTTCACCGTTCTGCAATTCCAGGGCGGGAAGGAAATGGCTCATCGATAATTCCAACTATGAATTCACGGTCACTTGTTGCATGGACCCTAGATGAGGAACCAGTTTTCATATATATGTTCTTTATTCACAATTGTTGTTTGAGGCGATATAAACCAGGCCATGGGCTGAGCTGCTGAAGTAACCATTCAAAGGACTTTCGCTTCTGCGTACATCCAGGAAGGGAATTCACCCTTATCCTTTTCATTCGAAGCCTTGGAGGGAAATTATGCTCCACTTCATCCCGGGGATACTGCCAACAACCTCCTATCCAACCCACATTCCGCAAAGAGTGTCTTGAGGATCGATTGTCAAAATATCATCGGATTTATCCGACGCTTCTGTAGAATTTGATTTTTCCGACTTCTTGAGCTATTTAGTTTGGACCGAACCAAGCCCTGAAAATCCAGAACTGTACAAAACTAGGTGAAATCCTTAGCGTGAGGGACAAACCCCACAGCTCGTCCCAGATACGGGTCCCCAAGCAGGAAATGACACGGTCATCAACGTGGAAATTTTAGAAGCTAGGAAGAATGCCCCTTAGGGCCCAAGTTGGTGGGATGTAAACTTCGGAAGCATGCAAGATACACGTCCCGTCGAGAAATTATCGCGCCCAGGCAAAAGCCCACATTTCAGGACAGGATAACCAAGCATCAACTGTGAGTCCTTCCAACACGAGTCAGCCGGAAAGTTCCGTGATAAGGCGAGAGAAAGCAAACAAATCTTACCAAGTTGGGAGAGCTTTTTCACTCTGGGTTGTCAAGCTATTGGGAGGGGAAGGGTAGTCCACAAGCGATATTGCGATCCAACTCGGTGCCAATCATGAAACTGTACAGTACATACAAAATCCCATCCATTGGCTATTAACAAATATATCGAGAACCGCAGGTTTTGGTGGTGTTGGTGGTGCTGGCCAAACGCCAATTGATCTGCTAGTGGTTGAAAAGTCCATGAGGTTGATGAGAAGAACACATATCCCGACAGCTTGGCTGGTGTTAACCCACCTCCGTCTCCCCAATCCTCTCAAGGAATACAGGGACAAAACCGCTTATCATTTCTTCTCTATTCGTTAACCATCGTTTTGTTTTATCTCCTTGTTCGAGCAGGCTAGTTCCTACTTAATCTGTCCAACACCCTCTCCAGATTCCATAAACGAAAGTATATTAGAACCTTCGGTCGTACGCGGATCAAGCGGGTTTTTTTCTCTCAAGCCCGATAATCAGATTTTCATAACAAGCTAATTCTTGCTCTTAGGTATGTAGCTTCAAGGAAAGCAGCTCCACTGCTACCAAATGGGATATCCTTCACCAATGCTCCCTGCTTGCAATGAGGACTGGATCAATAAGCTTGCCTGTTTTGCCGCTGGCAGCTCTGGGTTTGTTTAAATAAAGTGTTGCCGAGGTTGCGCATTTCAAATAGCCCTCTTTGAAATCGCTCGATCGTCGCAACCGTGACTGCCGGATTCCGAGAAACGTATTAAATATGGCAATGCATATTTACCATGTATTCCTGGTTGATATCAAATTCAGAACTCACCTCACTGTTCCTCCGTAACGCCACCAAGTAACGACACGGTTTTGGCACGATTTTAAACACACCCACACATTCTGCTGGCAAGAAATGGACGGTATATCAAAAAAGGGGTGATAAAGCGTGATGGTGGGACGCTTCATGTACCTGTGCATGCTCAAGATCGTGCAGACTGCACCACATAACATTAATGATAACAGCCCTGCATCTACTGGGACTAACTTTATTTTAATGTGGTGGTTTATTCTTGAGTAAGGCCATATATGTAGCATAGATTAGGCTGTTTCATTGAGACGGGTTGGATGGTTCATAAGGTTCATAAAACTCTAAACAGGGAGAGCTTCAGGCTGGGTAAGTACGCATTGATTGTGCGCATTTGACATTTGAATGAAGGGTCTAGAGACAGTAGTATGGCGGCGGGAGGCATGGATGTTCTGCTGTGCCTATGTGTCGCTACCACCATCCCAGGGACAAGCTGTTGTTACTGTCATCAGGTTTGGTTGTTCAAGACGCGAGAACATCCCGCGGTTTGGGAGGAAAAATGGTTGCCAACATGTTGCTATGACGTAACAAAGTTGCCAAGGTGGCTGCTCACTGGCCGGGAACAATTCCGACCAACGGCACACATGAAGTACCGAAAGATGATATCGCCGACAACGAGATACCATCTTTTTCCCCGAGAATTGAAAGAAAACTGAGATACTTCATCTTTCAATGAGACCTCAGACATTTCTAAAATTTTCTCTAGGCTGCTCATTCAGACCCTTATCACCGTCACCCAAGTACTTTAGTCCGTTGAGAGGATCTCGCTATACGTGCTGTACCGCCGACATGTCGAAATATAGCAAAGCCTGTTGCTCGTAAGCCGTTGCTGTATATTTTCATTGGGTTCTGATATGAAATCCGGCTGATCGTGTTGGCTCTTTGCAGTATCCCACCCGTCATCTCGAAAGGCTACGAAGGGAAAGGTCAATATCACACGATCAATGGCATGAAAACATGTGCGTTCTCTATCCGGTGAAGTCTATTCCCTACGCGGAATCTGGTCCAAACTCTCCCCTCTTGGTTGATTTTCACGCATTCTGATAACATCTAGATGTCACCGGGCCTGAAAATGCCACCGAGGCCATCCTAGTCATTTACGGTATTTGAAACTCGAGTGAAACACTTCCTCACTTTGACCTCTTCCCCGATTAACGTGTCCAACCCCACTAGACATTTTCGGCTTCTTTCCGCAAACCATCCAGGGTGCCGACATAATGGCCTTCTCGGATCCCAACCGCAAATACCGCGTGTTCATGCCCGATTTCTTCGACGGCAGCCCCGCCGACATTTCCTGGTACCCACCAACCACAAACGAGCATAAGAAGAAGCTACACGACTTCTTTCAAACCAAAGCTGTCCCGTCCAACACCCTCTCCCGCATCCCTGGCGTCCTCGAAGAAGCTAACAAGATGACCGAGGGAGGGAACTTTAAAGCTTGGGCTATCCTTGGATACTGCTGGGGCGGTAAAATCACCACGTTGGCCTCCGTTAAGGAGACACCCTTTAAGGTTGCCGTTCAATGTCATCCGGCCATGCTGGATGCCAAAGACGCGCTCAACGTCACTATCCCAATGGTGTTGCTGGCGTCTAAGGATGAAGACGCTAACGAGGTCAGCGCTTTTGAGAAAAACCTAGAGGTCCCGCACCATGTTGAAACGTGGAGCACGCAGATCCACGGTTGGATGGCGGCGAGATCAGATCTGGAGAATTCCGAGGTTCGCAAGGAGTACAAGAATGGATACAAGACCGTGCTGGGCTTCCTCGGTGAACATATGTAGATTTGCCCAGTCGCTGAAGGAATAAATATGCTGAAGAGGCTTCGAAATCCTTCGTTTCGAGGAAGGTTGAGAAGATAAGAAAACCCCAAACAAATTTTCAAAAAACTTTTGAAATATTTAATAAACGGAATCGAAAACCAAGTTGGGAGGCTATCACTATCTAAGAACCCAACAGCTAATCAAACGATCGTTAAAAATTAACCTCGCAGAAACGCCTCGACGTCCAAGATTTAAAAGTTTGATAGCCAATCACGTTGTTCTTCGAATATTCAACCAAAAAAGCACGCAAATCTCCTCTCCACAGAAGCAATGTTGGAAATGTTGCGGGGAGATAAACCGTGTACATGCCGGAAGAGGCGTTCATCATTGCAATATTTGGAATTTTCACTCCTTTCTCAGTTTCAATCATGTTCTGTTTTCCTCCTGTTCCACCTCCTGTTCTTTGCGTGGATTGTGTTCTTCAGTGTTATTTTCTGTGGTTGGTCATGGTTGTTTTATCTGATGGTAGTTGTAATAACCAAAATTCATCGTATATAATCACGACAAAAAGTAAATGCATTCAGAAAATACTTCAATTCCTCTCTCTCGTCTTTGGGAATAGGTGTAGTTCTTCATGGGAACGAGTGGATTAAGGACTTGTTGAAATTGATCTTCTTGTGTAGTTAGATGAGAGGCAGACGAGTGAAACTTGGCAAATGTAAGAGTTAAGTTGCCATGAATGAAAGGATCCCTAGGTAAGAGATAAGAGGAGAGAGTTCAATAGCAATCGTCATTTCAACAGCTGATAAACGTCACTTACAACAACATAGAAAAGAATGATTGAATGCATTAATTGCAGGGATAGAGGGAAATGTTAACTTGGTGTTAAACATCAAGCCCTTCTAGTAGTGATGCAAATTGCCTTTGATATTTTTTTTTTGTTCCTGTTGTTAATGTTGACAAAGGTCATCCGGAACTTCAGCAGCTGCTGACCGCTAGTTAACCAATTCGAACTATATAAAAACAAAAGAAAGAAAAGAAGAGATGAAGAAATAATAAAGCAAATGTATCTACGTAGCGAAACCTACCTAGGTATCAATAATAAGAGACCTGTAACAAGAACAGCTCCTTCAACCTTTCTAGAAACAATCCATCCTCAAATCAGGACTCGGAGCCGTTGAGCTGCGATTTTTAAACCACTGGCCCCAATTGCATTGCAATCCAGCTAGTAGGGATTGGAAACGACATAACACTGGTCAATGAGACAAGCCAGTTAGGCGACCTTTTTCAACTTTCTGGACGCCGGAAAGACGCATTGTTCCAAGGGTGAATACTGTTGTCAAGATCTAGTTCTGGGGCCTGGTGGACGAGGAATGAAGAATGGGTATTCCTTACTTCTCTCCCGTTGTGCTCATTAGAGGCAAATGGTGGAATTTGGCTTGGTTAGAGTTTTCGAATGTAACGTGATAACTGATAACTAGGCCTCGTTGTTGGTTGCGAAAAAGCGAACCCAACGGCGCAATCCTGAGAAGCAAGGGGGTGGTCAGATAGTTGGAGACAGGCCTAAGATCAATTGGCCAGGATGAAAAGCGGTGACTTTCAATTCGAACTGGTTGGGTTAGGATGTATGGATCTGGATATCTAGAAAAGTCACTCGCTAGGAAACGCTTCAACATAATCTCATATCGTAGGAGCAGATCGCCTTTACTGACCCAGAGGAAGTGAATTGTCAACGAAATAAAAAGGAAATGGGTAACTAGAGTCTCCTCTCATAGTAATGATCAATGAAATTTGCGAATTGAGTGAGCAAGACAGGGAGAGCAAGGGAAGAGAAAAATCAAATCAGCCTCTAATCTGGGGGCATGGAAGCAGAGCGTATTTTTCTCATCAAGCACAACAAACGGCTGCTCTAAGTGAGCACGACAATTAAACCATTCTGTCAATAGATTGTGCACAAGTTTCTCCTGGCTACAGTTGCTTTTTCAGTATGCTGGTTTGAGGTGTCCATGCAATGATACGTCAACGATGATGGAAGAGCACTTGATAAAGCGAAAGTGTTCAATTTCACTTTTCATTCCTTTTATCGGGATCATGTTCTACCAGCATATCTTTCGAATTGCCCGTTATGCAAGTCTCGAAAGAAGGGCAATAACTGAACCATGTTTGGATTTGATGCTGGTCGGTTGGTGTAATCATTCATTAATTTCAAAGGTAAGGAAAGCTCTCGTCCATTGAACCCTTGGTAAAAGTATGCTTTGATCTTCAAAAGACTTCTCAAAATCGTAGGAGGTTCCTCCTTCCTCCATTTCAAAGCAATTAATATCAGCTGATTCTGGCTGATGAGCATTCATTTGAGTTGATTGATACGTTCCATAATGAATGATGTCTACGTCCCACGATTTTCTGAGTTCTGTCTAGTCAAATCAGAAATGATATGATAATAACAGAGCAGAAAATGCTAATCTAGACAATGATTAGCATATGTCAACGTATGAGTAGAATCGGAACAAGTTGCTCTTTTTATGTTGCCAGAACTGAGAAAGTTGGACCCTCTCAAACTACGCAGTAGCGGAGAATGACTATGCAAACCGCTAAAGCAAGGTCATGATCCTTAATTAAACCTTCAGAACGGTGGTCAAGCCACCCCCCCCCCTTTTACAACTCTAGCTTAGTCTCCTTTCTTTTAGGGTCTTCTGAGTTTTCGGTCCTAAATCTTTCAAGGTTTCCTGGAGAACAAAACCGGCGGTCAAACCAGACCAGACCAGAAATGAAATGAAATGAAATGATGCTAATATGGATGTCGAGCCGATGAAGACAGACACGATGCTCGTCTCTCTCCAGAATTCAGGTCCTGCGCTGTGCCCACTAATAAAGCCTTTGATAGCCAGAGGAAAACGAAAAAAACAAAAGTAATGGCAAAGGGTCCGATTGAAAATTTATCGTTGTTCTGCAGCTGAGCGAATAAGAGTGGAGCTCTGCTCGTATTCCAAACAGGGTGTAAGTGAGAATAAAAGACAATTAGAAATTACATTTTGACATTTCCAACTTTGTTCACATCTTTATTTCATACGGTTGTCATTATCAGTCTCAGATGAAAATAAATCAGCCAAGTTCTCCATTTCCATGCAGATTGAAGGGTCAATACCTTATTGGCTCATTTGTATGTTGTTTAGAGAGGGCGATTGCACAAACTCGGGGGTTGGAGATTGTGGCTTCACGCCAAAGTTTTGCAATCGAGACTAAAGCACCTGGGTGCGACCAGGATGAACAGCACGCACTCCATAGAATGTGTTTCAAATCCCCCTTAAGAAGATGGTGAGATTGAAGCTACAGTTGCCACGCGTATCCACGTATGAAGACGGGCATTTGATGAATCCCCATATTTTGGTCGCTGCAGCCTGTCGCCAGCGGGAGAGCTATCATTTCACAGCAACATGTGGTTTGTCAAAGCACTGAACTGATCTCCTCCTCTATTAATGGTTTTGCCAGAGTTCATGGTGTAGTTTCTCGGGCGGCATTGATCCCTTTGGAGCTTCATTTTAAGTATCAAGCAACATCCTGGTTCAAAAAGTTAAAGTTGCCGGTGTCTTCGATTTTGCTCAAGCCTCAAAGTTCTCCTAATAGGGTCGTGATGTTTTCTTTTGTGAAAGCAAGCTCCTTAGGCTCCACGTGTTCATGCCCTGTGGCCCTGGGGGAGAGAGAGAAACATTTGTTTCCTGTCAAAGTTGCTAAATTGCCCACCAGAACAACGTCAACATCATATCATGGCTGAAGAAAATTGGCGCGAGCTATGGAGTAGTTGTGCTGAAGTTATCTAGTCGTAGTTGACAGGGAGTTGTTCATTTGGGATGCTGGCAGTTTCTGGAAAAGGTGCCTTTACATTGAACTGATTGCTCAATCTTCCCCTGCAGGTTGCAATGGTGTGTCGCTTGCATCTGGTAAGTTTAGCTAGATGGTCAATCTTTTCCAGGAGAGGTCGGTGTTCAAGATCTTCCTCGAGTTCGAATCCAGAGCAGTTGACGTGCAGTTGATGTCTCTCTTGCGAGACGTGAAGGAAGTCCTTGAAATCTTAATAATAAGCGGCAATTAGTTAGTTATTACAGGAGGCGTTTGATTGGCGCCGTATCTCCTGCAAAATTTGTTTTGCAATTGGCGGGTGACAATACGGAGCAGTTTGATGTCATAGCTTGAAGTTCGCAAAACACGCAATTCGCACGATGCTCCATCGCAGACAAATGATCTTGGCCGTATCCAACACCCCCCCAATCCACGATTTCACGGTTCCACGATTACACGAGTATTACCCGCCGGCGATTTTTGCAGTTGGCGTCGTATATAGACCTGGTACCTGCATTACATACGAACCACGGACAAAACATCGCCAGCTTCAACGCGAACATCCAGAGTCTGATAGGACGGGTTAGCAATTGGTCTGTGTGCAACCTCTGCAACAGCAAATTGAGTTTAACTTGTCATATCGGACCCTCAAGCTGGCGCACTGTGTTTTTGTGGGCTTCCAAATTTACCAATTTCCAATCGTTGCCAATCAACCTCCAATTTCGCTTGACTGAGAAATAAGTCGGATCCATGCTACTTTTGTCGATTATGGGATGGGGACTGCTGCTCCGATGTCGAAATCACATCCACATCCACAGCCACCCCTCAACCTGCCACAACCTGCCACATCTGCTGTTTCTCCCCCAATTGTCGCTTGGGTGAAGCTTTGGACCCGAGGGTAAACGTGGCTCTCCCAGGGCCAAGCACCAAACTGCTACGTCAAGTCAAGGTCCCAAACAGCGCGTTTGCGCCGGTGGATGTGCCCGACCCCTGTCCTGCTCCTTGCTCGACCCAAACGACAATTGATTATTCACGCGGAGATTGACTTCTTGAACCGTGAATGGGCTGTCTGACTTGCGCCAGCTGGGGCTAGGGTACCTAACCTTTCGTAATAATTACTCAGGTTCCTGTGTTTTGAACACTTTGTCTGGCACGGTCAAATACGACAACAAACATCAACAACCCTTTTCTATTGAAAGAGAGAAGTAGAAAAGGTTCTCGGTTCTTCCAGGGAGCAAAAGCTGCACATTCTATCCGCAGTGTTACTTGCTGAACTATGTCCATAATTGACAGAGGTCTATCAACCCGCTTTTCGGCCTGAGGTTCTCTATTTATTCTCAGGGTGTGGGCAGGATTTCGACGAGTGAAATCTGGCACCTCAGGCGCTGTAGATACTGGTCTCTCTCTAGTTCTCTAGTTTCTCTGAACCTATCCAACTCTGCAACTAAATCTGCAACTTGACCGAACCTTCTGATTTTCGTCAAGTTGGCTGCACCTCCTGTCTCAATACTTCGTCGACTTGAGAGAACGAAACATATAGGACACACTCAAGAAAAGGAAAAGGAGAGGGGAAAGAAAAAGCAAAGAAAAGGCTTGATCTTTATCAACATCATCGGTGAGTTCCATATCAGCGCTCCTCATTCTCCTTCTATTTTCCTTCCCTACGGATCTTCCCTCTTGCCCTCTAATTCCTCTTCTATTTCCTACCTCCCTGGGTGGCTTCGTGATTTTACTTTTTTTTACTTTTTTTTTTGTGGAGAGTTGTTTGAAGCGAGAATAGTTCTCTTTGATGATCTTTCTTTTGTGGCAGGAGAATTGACAATCTTCCTTACTACTGGCCATGGCATAAAGCGGTTGCTAACGTGGTGGCTCCTCTTCAACGCACGAGCAGAAAAAGTCTTGGGCGTTTCACCCCACAATTAGCTTCACCGAACTTGCTCCCTTTTTTCCTTTTGATGCGAGTTTTAATTCTCTCCGTTCGACTGACCTTCCCCTCATTCGTCCAGAGCATCTCTCATGATATATTTTCTTCTTATCTATTGCTGTTTCTGTTGTTGATACCCTTGTCTCTCAGACTGATCCGGAAGGCTTCTTTTACAGCAGCTGCCAATACTTCTCCGAGCATCCCATACCTCTTTGGTATCATCCGCAGGGTAAGGAGACTATAGTGCCTCAATATATACGTATATTCCTCACGATTGCGAATTGCTATCACTTGAGGATATTTTCTGGGGCACCTTGCTGTGGCGTGGAGAGACTCTGGCTTACCTATTGGGGATGGCATTGGATCCCAGTCAAGATTTAAATAATTTTCTCTTTAATCGCATGCAGCCATCGCGTCTACAGTCCATTTATGACCCAAGACCGTTAATTGATGGACTGTAATATCCGTGATACCACTGGACATATCAAACTGGAGAGTTATGTGTAGTGATTTCCAACGATCTACACCTCCAAGAATCAAGTCAAGCGATGACCATGGATCCAACAGTAGGATCCGCAGCTGACAAAAAGCGCAATAAACTGGGGTACCACAGGTCATCGGTGGCATGCGGTAAGCAATTTATTTAGCATAAAATATATTGAAGGGTCGATCACTTACAATGCGTTTTTGAGTTCATAAACCCGTTGTTTGCTCCCTTTCCCTGCTGATCTTGATGTTGAGAAACGTTTTTCTAACCGACGAGAGTGTAGTACATTGTAGGAGAAGGAAAATCAGATGTTTGCTAGCCTCCGACGATATTCAAGGGCGATGCGAAAACTGTATCCGGTTGAAGAAAGAATGCCATTTTTTCCCAGTGGATCAACAACCTCTTATGGAAATGAAACTGTCTCACGCAGGGTCCAAAACTGGTGCAATATCGACGGAAACATCGATGACTTCGTCCCCACCGTTGCTGGGAAGCGGTGGAATGGTGGATCAGAAGGATTCATATTTTCAATACGCACCATTGCCATTAAATTCGGGTCAAGATATCTCCCAGTTCGAACCAAGCCCTTTCGTTGAGACCCTCATGTCGAAATTCAGCCCAGGTTCGTCCATACAAATTGAAGACCTTTGGCAAACCACATGCAACTAACCTTCAATAGATCCTCTAAGCGCAACCGATTTAAGCACTGTTCCGTCAGCAAATCTACCCGTATCGTGGGAAGGCGCTTCGTATTTCGATAACCAGGTGCTCGGAGCAGCAACGAAGTCGCAAATGGCGACCCCAGGAAACCCTGCTTGGAGCCAAGCCTCACCAGGGGCACCTCTTTCTACCGCTTCATCGATTCCCGGGACTCCAATAACTCCCGGAATTCTTCCTTCGACCGGCGACCCAACGGCTTTTGGTATGCAGGATAGTTCAGTTTGGGCCGTAGCCCCGTCAAGATCAATGAGTCTTGCCTCCAGGAATCTCACGCAATACCAAGGCCAGTATCAGCAGTCTCTGCTGCCAGAATTTAAACGACGAATGACCTCTCCAGGGGATGGATATGCCCATCCAATTAACAGTTCAATGCCGGAACTACCATCGTCAGCGATGCCAGTTTCCTACACGCAAACACAATCTCCCGAAGGATATTCCACTTGGGAAACATTTCAAGGAGAGCCGACAGTGCCTCCTACCACCAACCAACCAACAACAGAGACGACGCCTGACGGGTTAGGCGAATGGTATGCGGACTCACCCCAGCAATAAGCACGGTTGAAAGAGGAGGAACCGGACGCTCTTGGGGGACCACCACAAACCATCAACCCTCCTTGACCGAAATACAATCTGGACCACTGTGAAGGGATTTTGTTCTCGGATCTGAGAGGGCAGTGAGCTTCGTCTCACTGCTACACGCCTGTGTCCATTGAGGTCCTTGAATATGAATAGGGAGGGGAGTGGCACAATTTCTTTCCTCTAGCGCTTGATATCTACATGTATAAGTCACGATATATCTGGTCCATCATCTCGCTTTGTTTATATTTTCTATATCTAGCTTTGGAATTGTTCATGTTAGCTGGCGCAGGAAAGGAAAGGAAAATATCACACTGAAAAGAAGGATGGTAAAGAAAAAAATAAATATACAGACTGGGTTCATGATGTATGGATCTGTCTTTTTCAATCCTTACTTCGGGTGATGTTGGTTTCGTGATATTATCGGCTGATTTCTTAAGATATTTTACACGATTGGGTTTCTTCTGTTCTCTAGGACTTATGCCATTAGCTTCTTCTCTTTTATATTCTTTCATCAGCCGAGCTATTATGTTCGCGCACACTCCCATCACTTTGGGGGAAATTCAACTTTGAGAAAGAAAATTCTTTCGGTACAATTACATACTTTTGAGATTCCTTGGCCCTCTCTTTTTATCTTTCACTGCTGCTCCTTTCTCGAACCCCGTATTTGCGCTTTTGAAGGTGATACTCATCTCGTGGCTCATCGCTAGTTTATTCCCCCCTCCTAACTGCGGGTCCTGTGTATCTTTTTGCATCTCTCTGGAGTAAGTAGATGCGAAGATCCCGCCTCTGCTCTCCAGTGATTGCGCACCTTCTACTAGCTACTCTCCCTCTCCGTCAAGTACATGACCTTCTATGTTGATGTACTTCACTTCTTGTTGCCGATGTTCGCAAATGTTCCTCGCTAACGTTAGTGATAACTTGCTTTTATTCGCCATCTTGCCATTTTCCTCTTTTTTCGTGGTTACCATATCCACCAATTTGATTGTGTTTTCTCCTCGAGTGTACTGCTTTCAATGCTATGCATGCTTTCCATTGATTTCAATAACGTCATAACGTCACCTCCCCAACATCAAATAAAGTCAGTTTCTAGCGATCACCATGCTTCTTCTTTTTACTTCAAGGTACATTGATTTTCAAGGTACAAGTGTTTGGTTGTATTAGGGGCGAAAACGACCTCCTTCTTACCTTCGTTTCTTCCTCCTTCAGCTTTTTAGGACTTATTTTCTTCCATATCATTTCTGTTGGGTCATTCTTTGGACTAACATTTACCTCAATAGTTGCTGTATATGGTTTTGACTAGATGAACCACTTTTTATGATATATCTATCTGGAGAACAGATAGGCAGGAGAGACATAACTAACAACTGAGAATCACGAAAAAGGATAGTTACTGAAAGGTGTATCAAGATAGCTGAAAGTACATTATGTCTAGCATATAGTTGTTTACTGTCAATAGACTGCTTGGTTTCTGTTAGGCCTTGCATTCAATGAATGATTACATAACCCTCAACAATAGATCTCTGGTAAATATCTTGAATACCTAAATAGGATCTTTTCTTGATAATTTCATATAAGATACAGAATTTTATAGACGATCGGTTAAATATGCCTTTGGTGGATTGAATATATTATGGGTGTACCTTTATTACAAATCCATTAGATGATACAGATGTACCAGGTTCCTCTAGTACAACATATACCAGTTTTAAATTAACATCAGAATCAAAGTAAAACTAGCCAGTGCATATATTATCAAGTATCGCATTTAAATGATATAGCGTCATTTATTCTATTCAACTTGCGGCTAAGCACGCACTGCCAATCTGTCCCTAAGAAAACACGATGCGACAAGCTTCGTGTAAATAAGATTTCGAGATTTAAGGTTGTGGGTCCGTTGTGCCACGAAAGTTCCCGTGCGGAATTAAGTTAGTTACACGGACCACCCCACGCAGGCTGCAACCCGTATATACATAGATCTTTGTATCGGTCAAACGGAAAACCCAGATCTCGATGCCTTTGAGAATACACTGTCTTCTTTTAAAGATATTGCTAACCCATCCTTGATCGCAATCAAAAGTTTTTGATTCAAAATTCCTCGTAGCTGGTTGAATTGCGAGTTAAACATAACTACCCGGAACTTCCGCCGTGGTTCCAGCACCACCTAGGAAAATCCCCCGTCCCCTGCTCCGTTCGATTCACTAGTTGGAGGGCGGACACGCAGGATTGAGCTGATGTTCATATCCTAGATGGGCGAGGCATCCTCCCTAATACGGATGTGGGATTTAACTCGAAACGCTCGCTGTCGCATATATTGCGTTTTTTTAGTTAGTTTGGCGGCTTCAAGCTTGTTCATGGCTCAACCGCTGTTACAGAACTTAAAAGGGAAATAATGGTTTGAAGAACCCAAAGCAGGCCAAACCTCTTTAATCTCCCACGGATGCTACCACCTTGGTTGCATCCGGGTAATAGAGACTTTGAAAACTTGGGCCGTAGAATTCCATATTCGCAGCCTTTCTACCTCTCTACGCATTCATATACACAAGAAATGGCAGTTGACTTTGGCAAACCAGCACTGCATAGGAATAGCATTAACGAAATTATATTGCAAAAAATATATATTCGAAACTCCCGCAAGGAGGAAAATGAGAGTTTAAGTATGTAAGGTAATGAAGATATAGTGCAACAAAAAAAATAAAAATAAAAGGGAAAACGAGACAAACAAGAAATAGAAAGTGAAAATAAGTGGCGACGAGCAGAATTAACATGTAAGACATATATGTATATATATATATATATATATATATATATTTCGTATAAATATTCAAGTGGTGAAAATACATGAGAACATGTTGACACCTAAAAGAATAGGAGCATAGGAGCGAGAAAACCTCCACCAGGACATTATTTGTGAATAGGACACCTAAAATAAACAATACAACGAGATATATAGATAAATAGAGATGCGCACTTCTGTCCGCTGCCCAACCAAAATGAAATGCAAAAAGCGACATTCAAAAACCAAAAAGAAGATCCTAAGACAGAAAAGCGGAGGCGAAATGTGGGGTGAGGACGGAGAAAAACATTAGAAGCAGGACCTAGATCTTTGCAAACTAACAGCACGCAATACAGAAATGGCAACAAACACAGAGTTGGTTGGGCAAATCGGAAACAGACGCGATTGTATCAATCAAATCAAATCAAATCACATTAAGCCAACCTCGACGAAATAAGACTTGAAAAAGAAGGACAGTCGGGAAAACACACTTAATGCCAAAAGAAGACAGTAATTCAAATCGTTAACGCGAAATCAACAGAAAAGTCAAAAAGTTGCGATGTAATGTCGCGGTGAAATGCCACGCGAGAATAGGCGGGAGACAAGGTGATGGATGGGTGACGCATTGAGGCAAAATTAGCGCAGCAGTTACACTAATTGTCGGTAATTAGGCTTCAAAGGTTCGTCAAGGGGTGTTGGTGGGATAAATCGAAGAAGTGGATCGAGAATACCCTTTGCCAAAATTCCGGGATAGAATGACAAGGAGGCATCGAGTAATCAGGTAACCTCGCCAGGTAAGAGCCTAACGAGGGGAAGCAGATCGTTCCACCAGCAGGGGGCCACTGGATAACCCGGAATCGCTCTATCCCAGAAATAAGGAGTGGGAAGTTAGATCGTTGGAGCGGTTGCTGAACAGAGGCCTCCATCCGGGCAAACCACCATCGATAGAAAACAACAAGAGGATTTCTGGAATGAAAATTAATCGCCACCTGCAGATATTTTTAAACTGTCCCCCAACCACCCAAAAAAAAAAAATTATAAATCTCTATGTATGATTACGAACAAATTTTCGCACGTCGAAAAACCCGGAGAAAGGATAAATACTCCCGAGAAGAGAATCTCAGCTCCAAACAAACGCCCTTTCGTCTAAAGAAAATATCGTTTGCATGATCGAATGTCTGCATCAGGTTGGGGAGGTAATTGTTTCTGAAACTAGGTATGACAAATCAGAAGTGGTGTTGATGATGATGATGGACGTCACAAACTCATGGTTAGCCACTCCCATTCTTGGCTGCCTCCTTGTCTGGACCCTGCGGCAAGACTATGGTGGGCAGGATTCTCAGCAGCCGGTGGGAGGGTGGTAACTGGCGTGAATGGCTTCGATCTATTCAGTGGCGTAGATGATTTATTATCGTCATTTACTACATCGCGCATTTCGGCTTCCTGGGAACCCTGGGGTCCAGAAGGTGCTTTCTCGAAGCGGCGAGTGCGCTTCGTCACGACTTGAACAGGGGCTCGTACCTGAGCCAGGCTACCTGCTAGGGAAGTTAGGGCAGGCTTAGGTGGAGCAGCGGCGATGGGTACAACGCCGCTTTTTGTAAAGCCTGAAAAAACTTGAGACGTATTTCCTGGCGCTGAGGCACTACTTAATCCCGATGCAGAAGACAGAGGATCTGAAGCACCTTGAACTTTACTGGACATCGACGTTATTGAAGTTGATTGCTGGATGAAGTTCTTTCGTGACACTTTCTTGGCGGAACGGCCTGCAGAAACTCCAATCGGTAAGTTGTTACAACTTCCTCTGTTGCGCTTTTTAATAACGTCAGTCTTCAGTGACAGTGGGCGGACGACTCCATGTAACTTTAAGAACAGCCCGCACGCATTACAAAGGGGTTGACCTTCCGGGTTTCTGCGCCATAAGGGAGTGGTTTGTGTGAAACAGTTTGTGCAAGTGGTGGGTGCACCAGATTGTTCGGTTTGTTTTGCACCTCCAGGGGATGAAGGCCTCGACGGGGACGCACTGCTGAATCCTGATCTTGGAGGAGAATTTGGTGTTGTATGTGGCTGATGATTCATGCTCTGGTGGAGAAGTTGAGTCGTATTGGGGGTTGAAATTGTTCGGGGAATCTTTTGCCTTCTTGGATCTTGGTCACGATTACGTATTTCACTAACCGATGTCGCAGATCCATGAGTACGATCC